CCCCCCCCCCCTCCCCCCCCTCACTGTCGAGTTCACTGCCAGAATGTCACCCCACAGGTTTTCGTTTTTCGCTTTGTCTCTCACCTTCGCCCACGGAGGTCCGGCGCCCCCTCTGGAGTGGTACCACTTCCGGAAGAACCTGACGGGGACGTCACTGGCGGTGGGCATGTAGTACGTCTTCTCCGGCCGCTCTACACCCCGCTCGCCAGCGTCGGCCAGGAGGCGTTCCTGATTATCGGTGTGGTGATCTTGGCGTCTTTTCACTTTGTCGTGATGCGTTTTTCATAGTTCGCGCTCTTTTGCTGTTTCTGCAGACAGTTGAGATGTGGGGTTACGCCCTAACCTGTATTGTTTCCGTGTTCTCTCTGTTGTGTGGTTCGTAGCATGCTGACCTTCACTTTGAACACACGACGGGTTGGGAATCAAACCTCACACGCGGAGCGCTTTAATTTGTTCGTCTTGCACAACAGCCAAGCCTAGTGTCTGTTGAGACTCTGTTTGCTCGTGACATGAAAACAACATGCTACATGGCTTGACATTTGATAGTGTTGAGTATTGTGCCATGGCTACGTTTTCCACGGTTTCGTCCCAATTCACATCCAAACCATGGTTGCAGCGTAACGACGTGCTGTTCCTCCACAAGTAACAGTACATCGACGTTTTCGTGCATACTCAAACTGTGCAAAAAGCGAGTGGCACAAATGTTTTTTAAGGAACCTTAAATGGCGAAAACTTCATGTTTTGCTCCTTCCTTCGCCACCTGTATGTGAAGCGGCGGGCTATCCCCGTCGAGTACTAGGTGCTGCCCGAGGTGTTCCTTGGCGATGCTGTTGCGGAAGCGGCGGGGTATTATCGGATGCTGGAGGAAAAAGTTTCGCGCGGTCCTGCCGAAGGGAGCACGGGGCGGGGAGGGAGACTCTCAAAAAATGTCTCTAGTTTCTTTCTCGCCAGCCAGAGAGAGAAAGGGGGTGGCACACGGGTTTCTAATTGAAGAGAAAGGGACAGAATAACACAGTTTCCTGATTGGTAAGAAAACCTTGCGGCGCCTATTAGACAGAGATGAGCCAAGATCCTTGGATGACGAGTGGGTATTATCCACGGCGAATCGGACAAGCATAATCGTGGACACGGCATCTCGTCCCTTGAAGGTTTTGCCCCAAAATTCTGCCTGACAGAGTGAGACCGTGCATAACACCCACTCGTCATCCAAGGATCTTGGGTAACCTCTGAATCAAGAACGCCTCCAGATTTTGTTCGCCTTTTTTTCATCATTCAGGAAACTGCGTTCTATGTCTCCGTTTGAACGACGACTAAGTTGTTCGTTTCGACCAAGATGAGCACAGTGCACGAAGCCATCCTGCCGCTCGGCTTCTTGGGGGACTACTCTCGCACTGATATACAACGGTGTTCCAGAAGGTCGGGGGAACATTCAACGAGAAAAAGGGAAAGGTACTAAGGGCCACCGTTTCCTGTCTCGTTGAAGGTGCCCCCGACCTTCTTGTGAAGCACGATTGAACCTGAGTGCCTGACTCGTCCCCGAAGAAGCCGAGCGGCAGGATGGCTTCGTGCACTTTCCTCAGAAGAACGGAAAGTGGCACGCATGGCGGGTTGCGACTGTGCAAACGGAGGCATACGTATGGCGGACGGGTAACTCCAACAGGTCCTCAAGGGAACTGATGGAGGACGATCGTCCCTTCCATCACTTCCCTTGAGGACCTGTTGGAGTCACCCGTCCTCCAGACGTACGCCTCCGTTTGCACAGTCGCCACCCGTCACGCAAGGATCTTCTCTCGTCTCGATTTTCTGTTCTCGCCGCAAGGTTTCTTGGTCAATCAGGAAACTGCGTGCCACCTTTCCCTTTCAAACGACGAACCCATCCTGCCACTGGGCTTCTTGGGGGGACTAAAATTATCTGGCACTCAGGTGCAATCGTGCTCAACCAGCAGGGTCGAGGGCTTCAAACGAGAGAAAGGGAAAGGTACTGCGCAGTAACACTCCCTTTCTCTCGTTTGAAGCCCCTCGACGTTCTGGTGGAACAAGATTGAACCTGAGAAAAAGGGAAAAACGTGGCACGCAGTTTTCTGATTGGTCAAACCAACCATGCGGCCATTCTTTTTCAGAGATAGCCGAAGGTCCTTGGATGACGGGTGGGTGTCATCCATGGTCAATCGGTCAGGCATAACCTTGGCTTTGCCTAAGATTCTTCCTGACGATTCAATCGTGGATATCACCCACTCGTCATCCAAGGACCTTCGGTTGTCTCTGGAAAAATTCGCCGAAAGCTTTGGTTGACCAAGCCACCCTACTTGATACAGCTACTCACGCGACTATGAATATCCAAGATAACAGTCTGCGTCCTGCAAGCGCTGATTGCCTTAGGTGTATTCGCCTCGTCAAAAAAAAACAGCAATGTGCATGGTCGAGTCTCCTACGGGGGCGTTGTAGAGTGCCGTTCGATTTTCTTCGTAGAGAGATAACACCAACCATCCGGTTATGAGCGTTTCCGCCATGCTCTACACAGAAACGGATTCATTACTTGTCCCTGTCAGTTGGACCGATCGCCCCCCACCTTGTGAAAATCATGCACTTTCCGGGAGAGGTGGGCACAGCGTAGCCCACGAAGTAGGAGAGCAGGCGATCGCTTTTTTCCTTTCGGTCTTCGTCCTGCAAATGATGGGTGATACACAATCTTACTGGTGATATGGTGTGATCGATGACATGGGAGGATCGATGCCATGGCACGATCAACGAAGCGACATGTCATCAGCGGCGTAAAGTCACATGATCCGTGGCATGATAGGATCGATGACATGGTGTGATCGATGACATGGCAGGATCGACGAAGTGGGATGATCGATGGCACGACATGAAACATGTCAACTTAAGGCCAACGTGCTGTAATAATGACATGGGCATGATCGATGACACGACATGTCATCATCAACGTAAGGGCATGATCAGTGGCATGACCAGACCGGTGCCAACATCAAAATATCACACGATCTTGAGATGACACGATCGATGAAATGTCGTGGTCAACGATGCACTGCAAATAGAGCAGGGCAAACTTTGGGGTTTATGTCGCAAGAGCACCCACACGACCAGAGAAAAAAATACCGATGATGTTACGCCGCAAAAGCGGTCAGCAGACTGATTTTCACCACAAGGGGGCGATCAAGTGGGTTCATCGTGCACCAAGATGACCGACGGATAGAAACGCATAGAAATCAAGTGGATCGGTCCTTTCACCAACAGATGTCGAACAGGTTGGTCCAAGGGATCTTCCGCCACGATGTGGAGGGTCAAACGAGCATATATGTATATGTGGCTTCAAATTCAATCGCAGATTGTCGCACCATGACAATCAAACGAGCGAAATTGACGTCTGGTTTGACCGCAAAACCTAATTGCGAGCTCCGAGGTGGCCGTAAAACGGTGGTAGAACAAGGAGTGGGTCAAACAACTCGGAATAACATCCTTTCCGAATTCCCAGCTCCCCGCTAACCCAATCGCGCGGGGTGGAGAACCCGCTCCGCGCAAGGGGGATGATCGCACCACGTTGTGTTAAAATGGTCAAGCACCCTCGAGGCAGTTACACAGTGCTTACAACTATCTCTGGAAGTGAAAGCACCAGAAAATAAATTAATTCATACGCAGCTGTCATCCGTACGCAAGGAAGTAAGCACAAGATGCCGAACACCCTTAGCAGGATGCAGCGCACCCTTCATGCGACTCGCCGAATA